ACAAGTGTCTCAAAAGTATCCTCTTTCGAGTGCTCTATCAACCATGACTTATAACATTGTACATCTTCTTCTGGTAATTTTTCTTTACTTATCAGATTCAAACTCTGACCGAAAAGATCTCCTTGTTTCTCACAGGTGTCCTTCAAAGTTATCAAAGTCCTGTCCAACACAGTCAAAAATTCTTCCAAGTCACTTAAATTTTTGGACTGTACCTTTTTCCAATTCTTCAATGCGGTCAATGTCTTAATTTGAAGTCTCCTCTGACCTCCATATTTCTTTTCTAATTTTTGTTTAGCTCTCTCATAAGCGTTAGAGGAAAATCCTAGATCTTTTACCAATTTAAGTGCTTTTCCTTTCAAACTGTTTTGCAGTCTCAACATTTTCTCGTTAACTGGTATGTCCGCATAGTCAACAGCAGATGTGAACGCAGCTTTCCACTGTTCGTATTCTACTTTGTCTTCCCCATCAAATGTTGGTAAGTCCACACCTTTTAATTTAATGGGCCCCACCCTGTGTGAAGTTGGGGTTTTTGAACTTGGTGCTGCTGGTGATGGTTGCCAGGTATAAGGGATACGTGATTGTTGTCTCGGAATATATCTACTCATGCTGTCAAGAACAGGTGGTGGTAACTGGGTATGTAGCTGGTATGTGTTAGGGTTATATCTATTCAGAACAGGTTTGGAGGTTTGTTGCCATGGAAACTGGGCAGGATGACCTTGAGAGGAAAAACCATCACTTAGGTCAGGATCTGGGATGGGTCGTTGCGGGGACTGGGATGAAGTAAATGCTGTGGCACTTGGATCTAGGATTTGTTGTGGTTGGAGGTGACCAGGGTGTGTCGCAGGTGGAGGGGTACTAGGGTATAGGGTTTGTTGTGGTTGGAGGTGACTAAGGTGTGTCTCAGGTGAAGGGGTACTAGGGTATAAGGTTTGTTGTGGTTGGAGGTGACTAAGGTGTGTCTCAGGTGGAGGGGTACTAGGGTATAGGGTTTGTTGTGGTTGGAGGTGACTAAGGTGTGTCTCAGGTGGAGGGGTACTAGGGTATAGGGTTTGTTGTGGTGTAAACTGATTAGGGTCCATCTCATTCAGGGGGGTACTAGGACCTGGTACCTGTTGTGGTAATTGACTGTGGGAACATGTTTCATCAGAGTCATGCGCTGTTTTGGGGGTGGTATTATGAGATCTAGCATCAATAATACAAACAATCTTACGTGCCTCATCTGTTCTTTGTTTTGCAAGTTCAAGTTCTACAGCTTTCCTTTGAAGCTCTTCTTCTTTTTGGTTTTCCTCTGTTTGTAATGTTAAGACTCTTTTGTTTGCTGCCTCTATCTCTGATTGTTGTATTTCATACTCGGAATGGGTTGAGCCTGATGGAGCTATTGATTCCAATTCGCCCCCTTCCAATCTTTCTTTTAAATGCGTTTCCGCAGCTTCTATAATGACATCCACCTGATTGCCTATTTCATCAATTTCTCTTTCTATTTTTTCTACCTCTGTTTCCGATTCTGGTATGCTCTCGAATATAAACATTTCTTTCAATTTGTTTAGTAATTTTTCTATTATAAGAAATTCTGATTTGATTTTACTAATATATCGTCTAATTGTGTTCTTACTTGCTTTTGTTGTTGATAGGAGCTCGTATAATTTGTTCCTTTCTCTTGTAAGCCTTGTCTTTGCATTTCTTTTCTCACGTTTCAGTCGTTCTATACTTTTCAAAGTCCCAGAAGTATCCGCCATCTTGGATTTTTACGATCTTGTGTTTCGTTTTAATTGCCAAATTTCCCGATTAAATCCGGCTGTCGAAGGTCCAAATGTTCTCACCAACTTGAGAACGTAGTCTGATCTGCTGGTTCTTGCCTAGTTTAACTCAAAATCTCTATTTTTATGACAAATTTATTGCATTTTTAACCGCCAACTCGGTTAGAATATAAAAGTATAAAATCTATTTTTCCCAACGTGTCCGAGCCCGCGATATATGGCGGGAAACTATAACTACTTCATCTTATCTATAGTAATCTGTTCGTAACAATAAATACTTTCGGAAAAACAAA